AGAAAATATCTGGGGTCATTAAGAGAGTCAAGAGGCTTCGGGATTGCTCTGTGAACTCAAAGTGTTTATTTCCTAATTTTTGAAGGGTGAAGGATTGGTTTTGTGTGCCCCTTAAAAATTCCTAATTTTTGAAGGGCAAAGGATGGGTTTTCTGTGTACCTTAAAATTTGTGTAACATGAACCATTAGTGGGGTTCAAGCACTGAAGATGATTGTTGGTCGGTGAAGAACCCTGTGTGAGAGGCAGAGAATGGAGGAATTCCTAGGCTGGGAGAAGAAAGGGGAGCTCCCAGGTGAGAGCTGGAGGAGGGGGTCCATCCCTTTCAGTGTGAGACAAAGGTTAAGATTTACCTTTGAGAGAGGACTTTGCATTTCCCTACTTTCTTTTTTTTAATTTAGATTACTTTGTTTTTTTAATCTTATTGTAGTATGAAAAAGCTTCAATAAAATTTTATAGAAAAAAGAGAAAAGATAGAAAAATCATTTGAGATCTGATGTACAACTGGGAGGAAAAAAGGGAGACCCAGTAGCGATGCCCCAGGCTCTACATTGACTCGGTTGCCATGAGTGATGTTTTTAAAAGAAAGTCAGATAAACTGTCTGATGAGCCAATTTTGGCCCCCTTTAAGGATATCTCAATTTAAGCATGCTGGCTGGCTTTATTTAATTATCTCCCTTCCCACATCCTCTGCTTAATCCAGGCCAGTCATGCCTTTGTCAATATGTTATATACAACAGCTCTGAAAGGCTTTTTTTGCAGGTTGATGGAAGTCATGGGTGATATGCACTGAGCACTAGCCATTCACAAAATATGGGCCTCCTGGCGTTGGTAAACCAGTTCACACATGGAATGGGCTAAAAATTCTTCATAATCTCCAACAGGGTTTGAGGAATGTGCATAATATGCACAATTTTTGCAATCAATTTCTGCTAATATATGCATTGTTTTGGTACACCATATTTGGTTGAAGAACAGCATTGCAAAATTCGGAGTACAGTCATACTTTGGGTTACAGCCGCTTCAGGTTGTGTCTTTTCAGATTGCGGACCCCCGAAACCTGGAAGTACCAGAATGGGTTACTTCTGGGTTTCGGCGGTTGCACATGAGCAGAAGCGCTGAATTGCAACCCACGCGTGCGCAGACGCAGGTTGCGAATGCTGTGGGTTGCGAATGTGCATCCCACACGGATCACGTTTGCAACCTGAGCGTCCACTATAGTACAAATTTTGAAGGATAGCTATGTTTTGCTTGGCATATTGTTTTGCAAAGTGCAAATTAGGTTTGCATTAAAAATGTGAGTTGGCCTGAATGGTGCCCTTGTGCTCAGGTCCTCCTTGGAGGTTTCCCTTTGAGGAACCTGGTTGGCCACTGTGAGAACAAGAAGCTGGACCAGATGGGCCATTGGCCTGATCCAGCTGCAGGGCTTTTCTTATGGAGGTCTATTCTGATAGCAGAACCTCCAGGCCTAAGGGCAGTCTACCTCTGAATACCAGATGATGGGGAACAGAAACTGAAGAGTTGCTGTCTTGCTTGTGGGCTTTCTATGGGGGGCATCTGGTTGTCCACTGTGTCAACAGGATGCTGGACTAATTGGGCCAGTGGCCTGAGCCCATGGGGCTCTTCCTATGTTCTAATGAATTTCTGCTCCTTCTGGCTGTGGTGTGAAGAAGAAGAAATGGCCAGGTGCCCCAAACTGTTGAAAACAACGGTGTTGTGCCTGTAGTGAAGACAGAAGGATAATGGAAATATAATGATATTTCAGATGAAATATTTATGACGTGCAAAAGAGCTTTCTCTCTCTCTTTTTGCTGACGTGACTCATGAACTTTTCAGCACTCTACAGCCCATTAGGCGCTTGATGTAATTTTCATACCAGGAGAGAAAAGCAGCTTCTGGGGGAGGCCTCTCCTTCTTCTCTCACCCTAAATCACCTCCTTTGTGAAGGCAGGAAAGTAAATCCATGCCTCCTGGCCACCTGCATTGCATAATCTACGGCAGGCACCACACCAGTGTAGAGGCTGGAATTCCTGGGGTCTAAATAAAGCTGCCTCGTGAGAGGGGCAGCCAGGTGAGATGTTCCCCTACACAGATGAGAGATTCCCTCTGAGACAGTGTGCAAACCAGAGGTGCTGCAGCCATCTTTTGCCCAAAGTAGTGCCTTGTAGCGCAGGTTATATATAACAAATAAATGAAACGAAACAACCCCAAATAATCAAAACTGCAGCAAAACCCAATTGCAAAATTTGGAAAAAGGGGGGGGGGTGTCAGCTGACTGGGATCTGCAGCTAGGCTCAAGAGCATTGGACTGGGTCAGTTTGCTGCAAATGAAGGATGTAACAAATACTCCCCTCCCCCTCTTCTGGTTCCTTGCAAAGGGCTTTTAGTGCAGATGGAAACAGCAGCTGGGCTCAATTCTTGTTACTGCAATGCACCCCCTCACACAAAATGATTTAAGCAGGGTCTGAGGCAGCAAATCTAATTATTACCCACACTTTCCATCTTTCCACCGGTCTACTGAGGCAAAAGGAAAAGTCTGCAACAGTGAATATTTAACAACTGGCTGGTTCTTGAGATAATCTCTCCCCGCTGCTTAAAGACAGCACCAACAATTTTGTGGTTGGCCTTGACAGGTGTGAGTTCTCCCTGGTTCTGCACCACACACACACACACACACACACAAATGTGAGGCGGGGGGGGGGGAGGGCAAATTTCTGCCCCAACTACCTCCTCCTGATTCCCAAGGGCTCTTCCTGTTCTGCCACACCACCACTGAATTTTGCTGTATGGAGAAGTAGAACCTGTTGCAAGCCTGAGAGGTCTTGCTGGGGAGCAATTTGCGATAGGTGAAGAGGCTGGAAGGAGGGTGGCATGCCAAAAGTTTCATGGAATCAGAATTGCAAAATCCTTGGGTACCCCCAAGGATCGTCTAGTCCAGGCATGTCCAAAGTTTGTTTTGGGGGCCTAATCTGGCCTGCTGGCCGATTTAATATTTAATATGGCCCCTGTGGCAGTAAATGTCCTGGGGTAAAATTGTAAAAAAAAAGCTCAACAACTTTGGTCGGCCATCACGCATGTTTACCTCATCAGATCTGGCCTTCTTTGAAAAAAGTTGGGGCACCCTTGGTCTAGTTGAACCCGTAGCCATCAAATCTGTGCTTAAAAGCCTCCAAAGACAGAAGAGTCTACCACTTTCCATGTGAGTCCCCCTCAAGTGTCAAACAGCTTTCCCTGTAAATGTACCTGCCCTGGAGGTGTGACTTAGGTCAGCTGAGTTTTAAAATGCAGACCAAATTATTTTTTCCTCCATCCCTGTATAGTAGAAAGAGTCAGTGTATTGGGTGGGGAGGGGATTGGGGAGTTTCTGGAGGGGACAGAGACTAAAAGGCTTAGGTAGATGCTGCGGGAGGCGGTGGAAGACAGAAGTGCCTGGCGTGCTCTGGTCCATGGGGTCACGAAGGGTTGGACACGACTAAACGACTAAACAACAACAGATGCTGTATATGCACAGTCCAGCAGATAATTCTGTAGCATTGGAAGCAGGGAGGCCAGATCTCACTCCAGAATTAAAACCTGTTGAGGATGTGCTTTGATATCTGCAGAAGGATGTCATCGGCAACACCCTAAGAAATCCTCTCTCCTCCACTCTTGCATATTTATGCCTCACAGCGCAGGGATGCTAATGTATTCCCAACCCCCCGCCCTGCTTTGAATATACAATTTCAATCTTGACAGTCTCTTAAAAATAGATTTGACACAAGTGATAAAAAAGACGTTCAGAATTGATTTCAAGAGATGCTGCTGATTCCTTCCCCCCACTCCGCTCAAACCCACTTTAATATTGCAGATTATTTGAAAACTTGTTGAGAATGAATGGCAGAGAAAGCAGATGAAAAGGAGACATCAGAGAGTAGAAGTCAAGCTTGGTGCAGTAAGGCACTTTTTGCTAGACCTTCTGCTAGATTGGTTTTCTTTGCTGAGCAGCTTCATCAAGTCATGAGCACCCACATCAGGCTACACCCCTAATCAACAGTACACATGAAAAGGACCTCTTAGTAGACCACAAGCTTCACACGAGTCAACAGTGTGATGCAGCAACAACAGCAACAACAAAAAAGCTAATGCTATTCTAGGCTGCATCAACAGACGTCTAGTGCCAAGGTCAGGGGAAGTAATGGTCCCACTCTATTCCTCCTTGGTCAGACCACACCTGGAGTTCTGTATCCAGTTCTGGGCACCACAACGTAAGAAGGATATTGTCAAACTGGAACATGTGCAGAGGAGGGCGACCAAGATGATCAAGGATCTGGAAACCAGGCCGTAGAAGGAGCTGGCTTTGTTTAGCATGGAAAAGAGGAGACTGATGGATCAGGCTAAAGAGGGGCCCTCTAGTCCATCATCCTACCCTCATCATGGCCTACTAGATACCCCAATGGGAAGCTCTGAAGCAGGACCCGAGTGCAACAGCAGCAACTCTCCCCACTTAAAATTCCCAGCAGCTGATACCATGGCTAGTAGCTATCCCTGTCCACAGATCCTACCACTCTGTCTGATAATAAAGCCAGCCCAATTAAGGGTAGTAAACCTTGAGACTCAGGAGCCCAGAAAGTTATTAACTATTGAGCATTCCAGATTTTAAATGCAAACCTACAAGATTCCCTTACCCCCTATAGATCCACTCGATCACTTCGATCACTGTTACACATGTAACAGGTGGAACTGGCCCTGTTACATGTGCCAAATAATTCCTATTCCACATCTGTAGAATATTGATCTTTGAGTGTGGCTTCACTTACACTCTGGAACTCCCTGCCTATTGACAGCAGGCAGGCGCCTTCCCTGTGGGACATTATTGCAGTCAAACCAACAATTCATGCTTTGCCAGATGGCGATATGAAGGGGCTGAGGCTCACAAAGCCTTCCTGTAAAATTTGCTAGAGAGAACTCTGTGAGATCACTTCCTTTGTCTGCCTTGGCAGGAAGCTGTAACACTACATACTTCCTTCCTGCCTGGGCGGCCTTCTCTTTTCCCCCTATCATGTTTCCAAGCTGACCCCACATGTATGTTTGAACCAAGCAGCTCAGATACCATTTTTTAATTTCAGCTTTATACTTTTGTAACTTAAATAGCAGTTATCAACCTGCCTTCATTTTGCTTCCATAATAGCTGCTTCAATGCCTAGGTTTTGTAAGTAAACGCTACTTTTATTTCTTCACAAAACAATGTGTGTGTGTGATTGTTGTTTTTAAAGGGAAAGAAAAAGGGTAGTACCAAGGAAAATCCAGTAAAGCAAGCTGAATTTTTGTTTCTATAAGGTTAAATAAACCTTAGTTTCCAAGTTAAAGCTGCAAACGATGGTACTCTGCTGATCTCACTCACATGAGCAAGGATAATACAGTGGTACCTCAGGTTAAGTACTTAATTCGTTCTGGAGGTCCGTTCTTGACCTGAAACGGTTCTTAACCTGAAGCACCACTTTAGCTAATGGGGCCTCCCGCTGCTGCTGCGCTGCTGCTGTGCGATTTCTGTTCTCATCCTGAAGCAAAGTTCTTAACCCAAGGTACTATTTCTGGGTTAGCGGAGTCTGTAACCTGAAGCATCTGTAACCAAGGTACCCCTGTAGCTGAATAATATATCCTCTCCTAGTACTTAAATAATTTACTACATTCCCTATCCTCTTTTTGCTTCCTTCTAAAAATATTAGACAATGCTACCCAGAGGTTTAGAAAGTTGATAAGAGTTTTGATCTATTTTTACTCTTGTTATTTTTACTTTTCAAAAGTTTAACATGACTGCTATTTTTTCTTAGTGATAATTGTTTTATCTTTTTTTGTAAATTGCTTTGAGGTTTGTTTGTTGTTGTTTTTTTAAAAAAACCCCATCAAGCAGTGTGTAAATCTTATGGGGGAAAAATACTTTCTCAAATTTGACACTTTCTTAACTAAAAAATTCCTTCCAGTAGCACCTTAAAGACCAACTAAGTTAGTTCTTGGTATGAGCTTTCGTGTGCATGCACACTTCTTCAGATCTGAAGAAGTGTGCATGCACACGAAAGCTCATACCAAGAACTAACTTAGTTGGTCTTTAAGGTGCTACTGGAAGGAATTTTTTTGTTTTGACTATGGCAGACCAACACGGCTACCTATCTGTAACTGGAACTTTCTTAACTGATTTCTATTTCCAGCGCCTTTCCACTCCTTGTTCATCTCTCTCTTGAAAAGAGAGAGAACAAAAACAGAACAAAAACCCACCCAAAAAACTGGAAGTGGGAGCGCTAAAAAGCTACTCTGCTTAATAGGTGTAAATATTTCACCAGGAATTAATTAAAGATGAGGGCCATGTTTTGCCTGCTAAGAGGGGCTTTTGGGGGATATGAATTATACACAGCCCTCCTCCGCAAAAGCCTTTCCCCCTCTGCTTGAATGTTTTTTGCAGTTTGCTCTGAGAGCAAATCCCCCAACATCTTTGAGCGTTCATTTAAACACATACACATACACACACCTTTTACTTCTGTGTAACTTTTGGAGAGGAATTGCTGTGCAGTTGTTACAGTGCTGGATTAGGACCTGGGACACCAGGATTCAAATCCCTTTTCAGCCATGGAGCTTGCTGGGTGTGACATTGAAGGCTAGCCATTGCCTCGCAGCCTAGCCTATTCCAAATGGTTATTGTGGGTATTCAATGAGAACCTGGACCTGAGAGAGGATAGGACCTGTACCAATGGCTGTGTAAAGGGTTGCTACATGGAAGATGGAGCAAGCTTGTTTTCTCCTGCTCCAAAGGTTAGGACCCGAACCAATGGATTCAAGTTAGAAGAAAAGCTAAATATCAGGAAGAACTTTCTGACACTAAGAGCTGTTCGACAGTGGAACAGACTCCCTGGCAAGGTGGTGGACTTCCCTTTGTTGCAGGTGTTTAACCAGAGGTTGGATGGCCATCTGTCATGGATTCTTTAGATGAGCAGGGGGTTGAACAAGATGAACCTTGGAGTCCCTCCCAACCCTATAATTCTATGATTCTATGACCAGGGTTCAAATCCCCCACCTGGCCACAAATCTGACTGGTTGTGACTAATATAGGTCAAGTCATTTCAGTGGCTTGAGCAGGGAGAAAGCTGTTCAGCAGGTCTACTGTGAATAGCTCTAACATTGCAACTACTACTACTACTACTACGAAGTAATTACATATGACAAAAGACTTTAAAGCAAGAGAGATTCTTTTTATGAGCCAGGAGGAGAAAGGAGAATAAGAGAATTCTCAGTTCTGCAGAGATCAAAGATGCTTTGTCAACATTTAATAGCATCCTTCTCTTGGGTACCATGGAAACCAGCCTCTTGTTGTTTAAATTATGAATGATATAAGGGAAATCCATGTTTCATAATAACTCAGACCATTCCGAAAAGGAAATGGGGAAAAAAATCTTTGAAATGCAGGTTTACTTTCCTTTTAGGAATCTGAGGAGGATGTGTGAGGATACCTACAGGCTCTTGGGGTGGAATATTGTTTAGCAGTATTGTTTTGTTGGGATCAGTATTTAATTTTTGCTTTTTTAAAAAAAAAAAAACTTAGGCGTTATTGTAGCCTCCGTGGGAATTGTTTAATTTTGTGGCATATATTTCAAAATGTTTTTATTTATTGCTTATGACTACTTTTGTTATATTTTAGTAAATAGGTGAATATTTTCATGTAAGTGGCCTTGAACATAGTTTACAAATAAACAGTGATGATTGGTTGGGATCGGCACATGTGCAGGGGTGGGGAGACCTAGATGTTTATTTCCACGCCACAGCCTAAAAGCAGCCCCCAGCTTATCTCAGGATTGAAGCCTCATTTCAGTCCTAAGATGGAGAGGGGACACACATACTCTGAGCAGCCCCAGACATGCAGATGCTGGCTTAGGTATGCGGGAAATAGTTGCCTGCATGCAGTTCAGCTTCCTTAAATTGCATGGTGGATAAAAACAAGTTTCTAGACCTCATGGTTGCAAGGGGGGAAAGGCTTAGGAACAGTTCCATGCCTTGCCAAGCTGTGCCTCACTCCCTTCCCCAAATGCAAATGTCTTTCAATGGGGGAGGGTGCAGCCGCCAGCAAGTTGCAGCTGCACCCCCAGGTCAAGCCTGACCCAGGGCTTGAGAGAGGGGCTGAGGTGGAGCCCCTCTCCGACACTGGGATCCAGCATGTGAGGGAGCTGCCATCCGCAGCGTGGAAGCTGTGGCCTCCAGTGGGTAAGTGTGCTGACCCCCAGCGTGCATGCGCACACATACCAGGCGGCAGGTGGGAACACTAAACTGCTGACCATAACCCTTTGGAACTGCCTGCCTATTGAAATCACTGAACTATTTTTGGTGCATGCTAAAAACCATTTTTGTTTAGGCAAGCCTACCCAGATATTCAAAATGCTGGTGTATTTTTAGTTTATTACTGGTTTTAATTTTTTTAATCTTTTCGTTCTTTTTACTAACAATCCAATTGCTCTATTCTTTCTGTAAACTGCTTGGAGGTTTTCTATAATCAAGTGGAACGCAAATTTTATGAAATAATTAATAAGCCCCAGCTGTCAAAATCAATTTTTATTTCAATGACTTCTTGGCAAATGATACCTTCTTTGCCACAAAAGCCTTTTCATGTGTTTCCCTTGCTTTGCATTAAAAACAGAACCAAACCAAAATTCTGCACAGGCTGCTGTCCTTTCATGATGGGTGAAAGATGCTTGTAGTTCCTCTTGTTATGAGCCAAAATGATTTTTGCCTTTGCTTGTCCCGCATCCCAAAACCTTCCCACACTTTACAGGGTAGGGAGGAACCATATCCACCAGTTTCATTGTGTATCATTGATGTGTGCATTATTTATATTAGATTGTATCAAAGGCATGTGTAGGAAGGAGGGGACAGAATCCTACTCTACACAGAAGTTCACATGCACACAAATTTCATTCTCCTTTCTTCTCATGAGCAAATTCTAAATTATTCACCATTTGGCTTGACAGGGGTTGCTCCCCCAGCTCCAGAAAACATCTGAAGAGTCCTGCGGGATCAGGCGAATAGCCCATCTAGTCCAGCCTCCTTTTCATAGTGGCCAACTTGCAGGCAGGAGACCTGCAAGTGGGACCTGGTCTGCAAGCGTCTTTCATCCATTATGAAAGGGTGGCAGCTGGTATTATTTGCCAGGAAGGCCTTGAAAGAAAAACTGACATTGAGAGCTATTTTCGGGGATTAACTTTTTCACAAAGAGACTGGGAAGCAGGGTAGGGCATTTTAATGTTTCCCCAAAATCCAGGCACATTCTGAAAAATGGGAGGAAAAGATGCTCAAAAATAAGAGAGCTGGGTTTTATTCACTACTTACCGGTATTTAATAAAAAATGCACAACCCTGGATTGTGGAAGAGCTCAAAGCATCTTACAAAAGGAATAGAATAGGATTATTAATAAAAACAATAAAAACATTCAAATAAACCAGGGGTCTGCAACCTTTAAGACAAAAAGAGCCACTTGGACCCGTTTCCGAAGGAAAAAAAACTGGGAGCCGCAAAACCATTGCGACATTTAAAACAAATATAACACTGCATATATTGTTTCTTACCTTAATGTCCGATCTGACAGCGGGCGGGAAGGTGACGTCAGGACGGTGCGTGACTAACGCACGCACCGCCCCCATGCGACGTCACAGCCAGTACAGCGCCCGCCACAGTGGGGAGTGTCGGGGCGCACAGTGCGCCTCCTCCCCTCGCTAGTATCCGCCCCGGAGCCGCGGCAAAGGTGTAAAAGAGCCACATGCGGCTCTGGAGCCGCGGGTTGCAGACCCCTGAAATAAACGAAAAACACACCAGCATTCTGAATATCTAGGCAGGCATGCCTAAACAAAAATGTTCTTAGCAGGTGCCAAAAAGAGTCCAGTGAAGGCACCTGTCTGATATCAATAGACAGGGAGTTCCAAAGGTTAGGCTTTCTTGGTACTCGGGAGACTAAACATCAGGAAGAACTTTCTGGCAGTAAGAGCTGTTTGATAGTGGAACGGACTCCCTCGGAAAGTGGTGGACTCTCCTTCATTGGAGGTTTCTAAGCAGAAATTGGATGGCCTCTGTCATGGATGCTTTAGTGGAGATTTCTGCATTGTAGGGGTTTGGGCTGAATTATCCTCGGGGGTCCCCTTCCAACTCTACAATTCTATGAGATTCCCAACATCAGATCCGGCCCTTGTGATTAATACAGTATATGCAGTTTCTTTTTAAATGCACCCTTTCCCTTTTAAAAAGCACTTTTGGTGTGTTGGAGAAGTGCAAATTTGGAATAGCTTGTTCTTTTCCTCATTCCAGAGGAATGTTGCTCAATCCCAGGGTTCTCTCTACAATAATATGGCCACCCCAAATCTGAGCTGTGAACCGTGTATTGTCAGAGTTCTCCCCCCACTCTCTGCAAAGAAAAATAATAATTCTGTGGCAGGAATAAAATAATGCAGATTAGGCTGCTGTTTTATTATTTAACATGATTTATTCCCTCCAGTTTTCAATATGTCATATAGAGTAGAATCAAAAAACCATAAAATCATAGAGTTGGAAGGGACCCCAAGTTTCCAACCCCCTGGAATGCAAGATGTATTTTGAGTCTACGCTAAGGTGCGCTTCCAACCCCTGTATCCAGAATCTAATTCAACCTCTTGGATTTTTGATACCGAGGTAAAGTATAATATAGATTTGTAACCATAATATATTTCATTTGTGAGGAAATGTTATGTTTGTGGTCTGCTAAGCTTGTGGTCTATTAAGACCCCTATATCTTTTCCACATGTGTTCCCCAACATATTTATTTCCTTCGGTGGAAGGAGCACGAGCCACAAAGTCTCGGAAGCAGCCGCAAAGCACCATCCACGCTGAGGTATCCTAGCATGACAAGTGCAATGAATAAATCATGAGTTTCTTTCTGCCAAGTGTAGCGAATTCGCCATCCTTTTTAAATGTAAGATTCCCAGCTCCATCTCTTTTTCCCATCTGATTGCAGGGAGATCACTGTAGGTTTGGGGGTCAGTGCTAAGCAAGAAGTGAGCTGAACAAACCCAGTTTTTATCCAGACAATATGGAAGTGTTTGGGCTGTTAGGAGAGGGCTAGTACCTCCCAGCTTGATTTGAAGGTTCTGGAAACTGTCTCTTGGTAAAGGTTTGATGAGAAGATCAGCAGTCATCTCTTTTGTGTGGTATATTGGGCTGCATGGGATGTTAGAGGTTGGGTTGAACCTCTCATGAGGAACCCATAGTGCTCCTTCAGGGGGTAGTTTGTCCACCTTTGGCCCCCACCCTGCACTCAGCTCTCACCTGTGGCTCCTAGAAGCTGACAGCATGTGACCGTGGCCATACTGTGGGAAAGGGCTTTGACTGGCTGGCTAATCCAGGTGAGGATAGCTGATACATCTCAAACTTCAATGAATTAGGGACTTCCCCTGCATGTGAAGACAGGCATGCGGCTGGAGTGGACGAGACCAGTAGTGTGTCCAGTGGTCAATAAGGCATTTCTGCATGTGCTGGAGAGGGGCAGATGGGGCTCATCTACCTGGGAAGGGAGCCCATCTAGGAGAAGGAAAACTCCAATCCTAAACCTCCAGTGCATTGCGAGCTATCTTTGGGAGAAGAAACGGCTAATCCTACACAAATCTGGAATCGCTAAAACAGTTGAAGTGCCCCCTTGTCGCCTCCTTTTTGTAACTCCTGCAGCCAAATGTATTGCTTTGCTTTGAACCACGAGACTGACAGGGCCTCCATACACACTGACCAGGCTTGTGGCCCAGGAAGGTGACTTGGGTGCTGTTAACACAGCGGTTTGTCTTCACCCCTGGAGGTGCACTCCATTATCTCTGAAGACCGATGGATGCCAAGCTTCTAAACCTCATGCATTGGTTACTTCATGACTGGATTACTGCAATATGCACTCTGTGCACTCCCGAACCCTCCGTTAGTGCAGAGTGCTGCAGCATGATTGCTGACACTAGTGAGGCCTTGTTAGCATATAGCATCTGTGCCCAGACACCTGCATTGGTTACCAATCTGCTCCTGAGTCAAGTTTGTTGTTGCTGGCATCCCTGCCTGTTGATATCAGACAGGCAGCTTCCCTGTCTTCATTTCAGTACCTGCTAAAAACATTCTTGTTTAGACAAGCCTACCCATATGTTTGGAAAGTTGATGCAAATTTTAATCTTTTTGTGTGTGTCTATTGTTACTTTAACTTTTTGAAAGTTTTAAATTATTGTTGTTAATCTTTCTTATTGATAATTGCTCCTCAACACTTCAGTGGCAAATGTGGCTAGGAGGACTCAGCTTTGGCTAATATTCTCACTGTGCTATTCCTGGAGAAAATGGATCAGGCAGCCATTGTGGGTGCCTTGGTCATAGACTGAAGCTTGTGGTACATGGATATTCAGAAACTGCAGCTGGTGCAGAATAATGCTCCCAAGCTGGAAGCCTAGAAAATAATACAAATCATAACAAACTGCTCATAACAAACTCTCATTGAGCCTCTGTTTCCCTAGGTGAATATTTAAAACAGAGCATGGTTTACAACTCTTCTGACCTACCAAGAAAAGGACGTTGCAAGAGAGCTTGCCATCCCAATATGTAAGCAGCATTTTAATTCCGAGTCCCTCGGATCCCCAAAGCAACTGAACCTTTACGACCTTTGGTGTGGTGGGCATTGTTGGGAGGGAGGTTAATAAAAATGGTTATAATTCATTGAGGCAAGCTCTATATAGAGCTGTAGCACTGAAATGCTATTGGAAGTATACACATCCATCCATTCATTCATTTCTCCATGGAGCTCAGGGTTGTGTACGTGGTTCTCCCTCCTTGTTTAAGCCCACAACCACCCTGCCAGGTAGGTTAGGCTAAGAGGCAGCAACTGGCCCCCAAGGTGAGCTTCAGGACCAGGTGGGGATTTGAAGCCTGGTCTCCCATGTCCTAATCCAACATTCTAGCCATTCCAGCTCATGGGCTCTACTGGTTTTGGGGGGGCTCACCCTCTGCCACCAGGAACCTTAAGCCCCAAACAGGATTTTATCTCAACCTGATTTCATCACAATGAGTTTTAAAACTTCCTCTTTAAGTCTTGCACATCCGTGCCCAGAAACACTAAAGGGAGCTACAAAAAATGGAAGGAAATATATTTTAATGCATGTATCCATCCATGCATATGCTAAAGGCAGGAATGGATCCCCAGAGAAAGTTGAAGTCAGGTTTTTTATGTGTTTCTTTAAAAAAACACACCTTGGCTACACGCCTAATTTAAAAGCTGATCTGTTATGAAGCAGGAAGAGACTGGTAAGCTCTTGCAGGGTGATAATGCTTGGTTTTGGTATGATAAAGAGACAGAACAATCCTCAAAGCCTGTCTGGGGAAATTGCTAGGGCTCTGTGCAGGCTGCGGCTGGGTAGGAGTGCAGAAAGTGGGACGTGGGGCAGAATTAAAGGTAAGAGCATCAAAGAGTCCCACTGCTGGGCCAGGCCAGGGGCCCATCTAGTCTAGCAGCACTGGGGGACTTTGGCATCTCAAATTTCAGTGGCACCCTGTTCAATTCCAAAATCCACACCCCCACCACCACCCCACAGTGGTCAATGCCTCATTAGCTATAGTAACTAATTGGCATCCTGGCATTCAAGGGCAATAAAAACATGAGAAGAGCCTGATGGATCAGGCCATTGCCCTACCTAGTCCAGCATCTTGTCATCACAGTGGACCATCAGATGCCTCATGAGCAGGACCTGAGCGCAGCAGCAGCAGCATCACTCTCCCAAGCAATTCCCAGCAACTGGCATTCAGAGCTAGACGGCCTCTGATGGATGTAGACCAGGTGTACCCTGCTTTTTTAAAAGACAATTTCTGAAAGCCATATTGTTCAGACAGTCCTTTAGAACATGACTTCCCCCCTTATTTTTAACCCACCAATATTTACTGATTTATTACTGATGTTTTTAATGATGCTTTAATTTGATGCTTTGTCTTTATTGATGCTTGGCTGGTTTTATTATTACTTTGTATACTGTGTGCTGCCTTGATATACTTTTTATGAAAGCGTGATCTATAAATTCTTCAGTAAATAAACAAAATGAATCTCACTGATGCCTTCTTGCTCTCCTTTTAGAACAACTTAAAATGATTAAAATCAGCACTGAAAGTCATCACGGGAGTGAGCTGACTATCTCTTAATTTCCCACTCTGCCTTTGCAAATTTGCTAGAGGGTGACATCCATCACCATTGTTTAATCATTTCATGTTAATTACTATTTTACATGATTATGAGAAAAGCCATCTATGCTTGCTGGGTACTTTGAAATTTCATCCCTCTGATGGCAGCGGTTTGGGGATTATGCCCTTGGAAAGGCTGGTGGTGAGGGTGAAATTAACAAATGAAATCTGGAGAGAGAGAGCGGGGGGGGGGAGATGGATGGATTAATATTGTTAATTTCCAAATGTTACTGGAGGAACTAGAAGGGAGAAAGGGAACCATTTACAACACTACCAACAACAATGGTTTAGGATGTACCGGTATGTGATCAGTAGTTCTCCAGCTCTGCTATAAAAAAACCTTCCTATAAGTCACATTATAAGAACTGACTATGATGGATAACCCTCCTGCAATCCTAGCTAGTAATGATTCAGAGTAGAGCTCTGAATAAATACGGTATTGCCACTATTCTTGAATGATTCATAAATGAATGAGAGATCAGCTGTCTGCAGTAGTGAGGAAAGCCATATGCTCATGCTAGAGCAGGGGTCAGCAACCTTTTTCTGCAGGGGGCTGGTCCACCATCCCTCAGACCATGTGGTGGGCCAGACTATATTTTGGAGGGGGGAAATGAACGAATTCCTATGCCCCACAAATAACCCAGAGATGCATTTTAAATAAAAGCACACATTCTACTCGTGTAAAAACACGCTACTTTCCGGACTGTCCATGGGCCGGATTGAGAAGGCGATTGGGCCGCATCTGGCCCACGGGCCTTAGGTTGCCTACCCCTGTGCTAGAGATTCTGGGCATGGAAAGGTGGGGTGTCATCTTGTCCTTTGCCCCTGAAAGGAAAATGTCCAGTCAGTTTCTGTATGTGAAAAGTAGGGGTCGGGGAGCTATCTCTGCTTTTGTGCTAGGTGGCAAAATGTTTTGGGCCAGCCTGTGGCATTGGCTTTCATGGGCTGCAAGCCTCCTTCCTCAGAATTTGTCTAATCCACTGTTAAAAAGGTCATATGTGGAAGAATGGTTTGGAAATGTGTGCATAAGGCTCTGGCTTCTGTTAAACACGCTGCTGAAGGACTTCTGGCAGTTTCCACACACACAGCAGGCCAAAAGGGACTCTGGCAATGACAATAAATTAATGGCTTTATTTTGGGGATGCTGCTTGGCTCATAGGGGACATCTGTAGGGGCTAGCCATAAACAAAGCCTTGGAAGACAAGCTCTCCTCTCCTGCAGGACTTATGAGGCCACTGCCAGCACATTAGCAGAAGTAATATGTTAATCTCTCCCATTGCCACTCCAAGGGAATTGTGAGCTTCTAGCATCAGTTACTGGAAAGAGAAAGAGGATATAATTAAAATACCTAAATGAGGAAAGACAAATTCTGGGCTGTAATTAGCTGGGTGGCCTTTCCCCCGCTTCTCCTTTTTTTGAAGCTGCAACCAGTTCAGTTACCTGCCTTAGTTTGCTTTGAAAGAGGCCTGGACTAATTTATGGAGGAGAAAGCTATTGATGGCTACTAGCCACAATGGCTCTGCCTCTGCCTCCACAGTTGGATGCAGCAATACTTCTGAATACCAGTGTCTGGAAACTACAGAAAGGGAGAAGGCTTTTGTGCTCAGATCGTGCTGGAGGGCTTCACATTGTAAGAAGAGGAAGCGGGACTAAATTGGGCCACTGGCCTGAGAGTTGGTGGCCATCACCACCTCCCATGGGAGTTTCATAGTTTGTGTGCTGTATGACTCTGCCCTGAATCAATCCAACATTCACCTTCACTGGATGTCTATGAGTTCCACTTTTCTAAATGGGGGGGGAATCCCCCTTGTTCTCCCAATGGTCAACCAGATGCCCTCATGGGAAGTCCACAAGCAGAAACCAAACACAACAGCAACTCTCCCTTGCTGTGGCTTCCAGCAAACTGGCATTCAGAACTATGCTGCCTCTGGAAACCTAGCCAGGAGCGATCAAATGAATCCCATCACCTGTTCTGTTCTCCTTTTCATATGCTATCCACTTGGCAACCAAGTCCCCTTGTTTCCCTTTTCTCTCCCAACAGGAAGACAAGCGGGCTCTTTAATGCTCACCACCAGATGGACATTCTCTCCAAATGCAAGATTCTTGGCATGGGGTGGCATAGCAGACCTTTGATGGCTTTGATGTAAAGCTCTGAAGTGTGCCAGGACACTTCATAAAATGCCACAGCCAGAGATAACTTTGGGCAAACGAAAGGCAGACTTTCCCTCTCTCCAACCCAGCTAGGCTTTCCAAGAGGCTGGTTTTGCTCCAGGTTTTATGAACTCATTTGAATGCAGAGATCGGGACCTGTCAGTTTTCTGTACAGTTTTTACAATGGTGCGTGTATGTGAAATTAAGAAGACAATTTTCTGAAGGAGAGGCCTGTCAATGACTGATCACCACGATGGCTGTGCTCTGCCTCCAGTCAGGGGTAGTGAATACCCTTCTGAATACCGGTTGCTGGAAGCCGCAGGAAGGAAGAGGGATCTTGGGCTCAAATCCTGCTGTTGGGATTTCCATTGGGATTGCTGTTCAGCTGCTGCGAAAACAGGATGCTGGACTAGGTGGGCCATTGGCCTGATCCAGCAGGCTCTTATGTTCTTGAAATGTTGAGCCCCGAAACACTATATGCTACCTTATTTTTTAAAATCTCTTAATTCTGTTTTATCCAACCATATACACATCTGGATGCTTGTGTTCCATGTGCTACTTATTTTGTTTCTTTCATGCCAGTCGTTGAGCATAATAATAACGGTCTGGGATAAAAAAAAACTTACGTTCTTATGTTATTTGGTTTTTGCTCCTGTTTTTCAAAACAACAACAACACCAGCTTCTGGCTTAGGGGGTATTATTTCATTATATATCTGCATGATATTGTTATATGTTGAAACAATTTAATAAAAATTAAGGTAAGGTAAAATAAAATAAAGATTTGATTTTGCACTTGATTTGGATGCGACGTGCCATTTTGCAGCAGCTTTCTAGAGGATGTGAGCAACGCGCTTATAGCCCATGCTGGACCCTCCCTGTTGTTCTTTCCTGTGAACAGCAATAAAATAAAATAATGTGTATGTGTTTGTGTGTATTTTGCTGGCTAGATTTCTCTTTCCAGCTGGTGCCAGTATAACAGAAACAAGACTGAGATCAACACAGCTACTTAGGCACTTTTATTGGCCCTCTGCATGATGGGAATCAAATAATAGGCTATAAAGAAGGCATAATAAAGCCCTTCTGTAGCTTTCCATAGCTTCTCGCCGGAGCTCTGTAATAGACTTTCTCCCTTACCCCCGCCAGTGCCCTTCTCATGGAAACTCCGCTTGCTGCCCCCTGCAGTCTTGTAACACAGGCCACATTTGTCCTTGAGACTCGATAAACATTACCCTCTGGTGTTAGCTTTCCGCTTGGCTTACATGCTTGGAAAACATCTTTCTGTTGCAGAGTGTAGAATGAGCAAATGGGATTAACTGGCCACTTTTCTGAGGTCAGCGGAATTGGTGGGTCCCAGTAGATTTATGTGGAAATGTCGGCTTCTGAGAAACACACATTATCTTTTAAAATCATTTGGAGTCTATGTTTTGTGTATGTATGTGTGGCTTAACGTGCCCAGCTCTGAATTGTGCTGATTTCCAGAGGGTCACAGTTTTCTTGTTAGATCTTCTGGAAGCAAAGCAGGGATTGCATTTGCTGTCTGGATATTATTAGTTATGGCACGGTCCTGTCCCCTACCCCACAATATTATTTCTGGTGGTGGTGGTGCAAAGATGAAGAACCTAAGGTCTGGGGGTCCTCTAGCTGACCCTCCAGATGTCCCCAAGGCCAATCACCCCCCCAAAAAGAACTGCACCCTTCACCACCCCTGATTTGCATTCCTTCTGTTTTCACCTGGCTAGGATGTGTCCTTGATCTGTGGTGTAGTGGTTAGAGTGTCAGACTAGGACATGGGAGGCCAGGGTTCACGTCCCCTCCACTTAGCCATGAATCTCATTGGGTGACCTTAGGCCAGTTGCTCACTCTTAGCCTAACGTACATCACAGGATTGTTGTGAGGATTAAATGAGGTCTAGGACCTGGGAGACCAGGGTTGAAATCCCCCCCACTTTTGGGAATTAGAGGGACAGAACTACCCAAACTGTACAGAAACTTATTCATGTATGCTACTACAGCGGCAAGAATGTTACTTGCCAAAAAGTGGAAAGAAGAAGAAATATCAGCAAAAGAAGAATGGATACAAAAACCTGTGGAATATGCAGGAATGGCAAAACTTAATGGAAAATAAGAAAGGCAACAAATTTTTTTACAAAAGAATGGAAATGGTTTACTGAATGCTTACAAACCAATTGTAAACAGATAAGAACATTGGCAGGATTATTGTAACAACCTGCAGTTTCGTAAGAGTATATATTTAAAGTAGATGAATAATTGAATAAATTAAGGTAATTTGGATATGCAGAATATATTAAAAATAAATTTAAGGAACCACAAAAAGAGGTGTAAGGAAGTCAAGTTCTGACATGTTAAAATGACTGTAAAATTATTGAAATGTATAAACCTGAAAATTATAAATAAAACCAAAAACCAATCCCCACTCAGCCGTCAAGCTCATTGGGTGGTATTGGGTCCATCACTCACACTCGGCCTAGCCTACCTCACAGGGCTGTTGGGATTTAATGAGGAAGGCGAGAACCATGTGCACCACTCTGAGCTCCTTGGAGAAAAAGGTGAGATATAAATGTAGCAAGTAAGCGATCAGTCAAATTCTGGCAGTGCCTCTTGCCTGCCTGAATGGAGGACAGAGAAAGAATCAGGGGTGTGTATAGAAACTACTCTACAAAGATAAAAATATACATTTGTTGCTGCACCCATTTTGGCCTCTGCCCCCCCCCCCCATCGCCATGTGGCCCTTAGTTGGCTTTGGTCTGTCTCAGGAGACAGTGGAAGAGTGCTCCTCTGGGATGAAGCCAGACTACTGAAGAGTTACAGCAGCTGCCGAGGCTGTAGAGACTAATATAAAAGAGATGTGTTTTGTTTGTGGGATTTGATTAGATGCTAGGAGAGGATATATTTATTATTATCCTTTCTTCCTTGCATATGTGAGTTCAGCAGAGTGCTATCCCTTTGCAGCTTAAAGGGAAGCTTAGATCAGCTAGTTTTAGCCTTTTAGTATAAGTAACCCAGGCTGCTTTAAGGCAGACTGGATTTTCCTGGTATTTCCCCCCTTTCTCCCCCTTAAAATAAGAACCACACAAAAACAGGCTTGTGAAAGGTAAAAATAACATTTACTTGCTCAGAATACGTCTTGAAGAAGAACAGCTACAGTAGCTTGGTGCAGGCAGGCTTAAAATGGTAACTAAGTTATTAAGACATACTAAGCCTGGCTTAAAAATGGAGTCTGAGCAGGAGCTCAGAGATGCAGATGTTATGTTCCAGACATTCTGAAAAAAATAAGGAAGAGAGTGGAGGGCGGAGCATATTTAGCTAGGCCCTCTTCCTGCAAGGGCACAAAGGGAAGTGATCTCACAGAGTTTTCTCTAGCAAATTTCCAAGAAAGCTCTGTAAACCTCTTTTGGAAGTGGTGGTGGAGAAAGCTTTCAAGAAATTAGAAGGTGGATTTCTGGCACAGCACAGGGGGTTGGATAGAGTGGTATCGCTGGGATCCATTCACAACATGAAAAGAGCGCAACCTGAAGTGCCATATCTGTGCAGGTGTGTAGCACGATTTGATGCTTGTGTGCATGCGCGAAGAGCGATTTAGCACTTCTGCACATGTGCAAGCGGTGAAACCCGGAAGTAACCCTTTCAGGTACTTCCGGGTCGCCACTAGACGTAACCTGAAAGAACGTAACATAAAGCAAGCATAACATGAGGTATGACTATACACTGATTAATGGGGGGAGGGAAAGATGGACAGTCTAATGGCAGTGAAACAGTGTCACATGCAATTCATCTATTGGTGTAGCAGATGGAGCCTGGAAGACGAGAACAATTTCACGTGAAATGTGGTGTGTCAAAGAGCCACCCTAGACCAACTCTTTCTCTCTCCGCCCCCCCCGCAATACACATCACAAACACCCATTATCGAAAGGAACAAATAAATGTGCATCTGGTACTATGAGTTTTTCTCACCACTGTGGAAAAGAGCCTGTAACCATGGTGATGTTGTTTCTCACCTCCCACTCATCCCGCCCCTGGATAGACAGAATGTGGCTAGTCAACTGCCTACAGAATTTATTAACTCCCCAAAGTGGTCCAAAATGAAGAAGGGAACTCAGTTGCATTTGACCTGCATCAGCATGAAGGCTCCAGTCATTTTATGCATTAAAAAATTGAAAATAAATCAGAAGATGTCAAACTATTGGGGGATGCCAGTGCTGTTTTGTGAGTGTGGGTTGCAGTTAAAGTTCAGGAGGGTTATACAGTGGTACCTCGGGTTAAGAACTTAATTCGTTCCGGAGATCTGTTCTTAACTTGAAACTGTTCTCAACCTGAGGTACCACTTTAGCTAACGGGGCCTCCCGCTGCCACTGCGCCGCCGCCACGCAATTTCTGTTCTCATCCTGAAGCAAAGTTCTTAACCCGAGGTAATATTTCTGGGTTAGTGGATTCTGTAATCTGAAGCATCTGTAACCCGAGGTACCACTGTAATAGGATTTCTGGTTTCCCCATCACCACAGACTAACCTCCAGCTTAATTCTGTAAAGCCATGGAAACTTCCTTGGTCTCATTCCCTTATGGATTTCTTTCCAGACCAGTCTAGTTTTCCAGTTTGCATGCGCACACACAATATTCTTCTAATTATTCTGCCTGCTTTTCCCTCTGATCCCACCACCCCACCACTGGCATCTGGCCCTGAGATCCTTTAAATGAAGAGGCTTTTCTTATAAAAGGTAGATCTAGCAAGAGGAATAGAGCCACAACTCTTATTTAAGGCTCAGTCTGAGGCCTACTTGTGCTGCAACAACATCTGAGCATTGTTCAGAGACTCTCTAGTTTGGACCCTGTACTGTTGTCCAGCTGTCCAGTGTACTGTTGAAACTGTGCCTTGGGTACCTGCTGAGGCAATTGCTTAATAAACATGAAGATTCTTTGGAGCTCCCAGCCCATGTAAAAGACAACAGGAAAAGTGTTTCCTGAGGAGGCTGTTAATATTTAGGGAGGGAGAAGAAATTGGTTCACTTCTCATTTTAATGCAGGCCTATACAATCCACACTTCCTGAAATGAAGGCTACAACCATCCCTTTAAAGCACCGAAACAACTTGAAACAGTCAAGCCTCCCCCCAAATAATCCTGGGAGCTGATTATTACAGGTGCTGAGAGTTGTTAGGTGACACGATCCCAACCCTATTCCCATCCTCAGAGATGTAATTCTCAAGAGTTTCTTGGGAAGAGGGATTGACTGTAAGAACACTCTGGGAATTGTACCAGAATGTGTTAATCAAGTGAAAATTGTTTATGAAAATGCATTTTTATATTTGGGGAAAATTTGGCAAAATGCATGTATTTAAAGGAAATATGTAGGCAAAATTGGTGGGAAAATATGTATGTGAGGAGAAATGTGAAGGAATTTTAGTGCTGATTTTTTTTAAAAAAAGAATATTCACAAGTTGATGTGGTGAGGGGGCAAATTAAATATAAAGACAGGGAAATGAAAAATTGGGAGAAGAAAATGAACAGATGCTTCCTTTGCCTCCCTAAGACTCCCGCATTCTGCTAGATTTCTGAGCAGGCATCACTGCCTTCTCATATTTATTTTAGAATCCTGTGGTTATTATTTTTAAAGCATGAGTTATTGATGTTTTAAGAGCTTTTTAAAACAAAACCTTCATTGTCATCTTAATGCAAAGCTAAATCTGCAAAATTATCTCTCTCTTACCTTTTATAAGTAAAAAACAAAAGAAAGAAACAGCTTCCATCTTTCTTCCAAAATGAGTTGCAATACTTTGGAGAATAAACTCATGTTCATATATTAGCTCAATTCCAAATGGGTTGAGCAATCTATTCAGAATTATCCTATCTCCATGGCA